AAAAAAGAAACGCGCCTCGGGGCGCGGTTCGGTGGGCCCTAGAAGCAGTCCCTAGGAGGGAACCTGCTCTGATTCCATGTGGAAACAAAAGAACGAGAATGGATGACTATGAAGTGAAGTGAATACAAATAGGAAACCCTAATGTGTTGTACCCCCTATGGGATACCCCACTATAGCCTACACAAACAAGTAAGCTATATGTTCTGACAGTAACGTGTATCCCGGTACCCAGATGCGGTCGGTTCCAGTTTTTACGTAATAGACTCCTTTTGCCGCTGCGAATTGCTGTGAGTTGCCTCCTGTAAAGAACGGGTCTGTTTGATATCCGTGGGTAAATAGGCCGGTAAGTAGTGGGCTGGTCTGGGCGAGTAGTATCGCGTGGATCTGGGCAGTGGGGCGGGTCAGTGCGTCGGCGATATTCGATGCTCCTTTTTTGTATGTGACCGTATAGTGAAAATTCGACTCGAGGAAATCGAGCCATCGAATCTGTCGTGGGTTGAGGTGGGGCTGTGCGCGGAGGTACTGTAGAGATCGGTGGTCTGTCCGTACTGTCACGTCTGCGCCAGTCAAGTAGCAGCGCCAAACTTTGAATGCATGCACGATCGCGAGCATTTCGCGGTCGTGTATCGGATAATTTCGCTCAGGCGGATGTAGTTTTCGTGATTCGTAGGCGATGGGTTGGAGGCCGTTGCCGAAGTCCTGTAATAGTACAGCTCCGATGGCGATGTCACTTGCGTCGGTAACCACTTCGAAAGGGCGGTGGGGATCAGCGATGCGTAGGACGGGTGGTGAGCAGAGAACGTTTTTTAGGGCAGAGAAGGCAGCATGCTCTTTCTCCCCCCACGTAAAAGCGACCCCCTTACGCAGTAAATCAGTTAGTGGGGCGGTTAAACGTGCCATGTCGGGCACGAACCGTCGAACGTAATTAACAAACCCTAAAAAACTCTGCAGTTCCGTGATGTTCGTCGGGGGGCGCCACGCTTTTACCGTGTCCAGCTTCTTTGGGTCAATCTCAACCCCAGCCGCGGAAATGACGTGACCTAAAAACTCTAGCCTATCCCTAAAAAACTCGCACTTGGAGCCCTTGGTGAGCAGCCGATGTTCCTCTAAAACCTTAAAAACTGCTTCAAGATCTGCTAAGTGTTGCTGCTTATCCCGACTGTAAACGAGGATATCGTCTAGGTAAACGATGACGCATTTATCTAAAAGTGGCCTAAATGCCTCGTTCATGGTCATCTGAAAAGTCGCAGGCGCGTTCGTCAACCCGAAGGGCATTACTGTATACTCGAATGACCCGTACCGAGTCCTAAATGCTGTTTTTGCACAGTCCGATGGTTCGACGCGAATCTGATGGTAACCTCCTCGTAAATCTATTTTCGAAAAGACACGTGCTGTTCGCAGTTGGTCAATCAGGTCGTCGGCGCGGGGGATGGGGTATCGCGATTTGACTGTTACTCGGTTAAGCGCTCGGTAATCGATGCACATGCGAAAAGCTCCGTCTTTTTTCGGTGTGAACAGTATGGGTGCGGCGAACGGTGACGAGCTCGGTCGAATAAACTGCTTCTCTAACAGGTAATCTAACTGCTTCCTTAACTCGTCGAGCTCGGGCTGTGTCAGTCGAAATTGCCGCTGTACTGTTGGCTGTGCCCCCGGTTCTAGCTCGATCCTATGGTCGTGCGCTCGCTGAGGTGGCAGTCCCTGTGGTAAATCATCCGGAAATATCCCCGGGAACCGTTTCAGTAGTGCTTGTAATTCGGTCGGTACGGCTGCTAGCAGTTTCTGTAAATCATTCTGCTGCTCGTCTTTTTCTACCACTGCGATATCCACTGCGTACACGTCAGCTCCAGCAGCGACAGCCCGTTTCATCGCGATGGCGTTGACCTGGACTGTCGAAGATTCGGGTGGCCGCCAGCGAGGTAGGACGACCCAGTTACCGCTACTTCGCACTGTGCAGCTCCCCGTTGTCCAGTCGATCCGTGGGTTGTACCGTCGCAGCCAATCACGTCCCAGTAAAATGTCGTGCCCATCCAGCGTCGTTGCGAGCATTTCCTGTGTAAACCCGAAGTTTCCCCCGCAGCGGACTTTTACTCGCTCCACTTTTTCTCGTATGGCCAAAGGCGTGCCGTCGACTAAGCGTGCATCTATCTCAGGTAAACATCGGTTAAGTGTTAACTGTAATTTCCGTGCGGTTGCAGTATTAACTAAGCTGTGACATGCTCCTCCGTCAATGAAGATTTTTACTGCTGCTCCCTGTATTTTCCCGTAGATCAGTACCGGGCAATCCGTCGCTGTACCCTCCTTATTCATCCGAGCCCGATCGATGGCGTGAATCGGTACTGTGACTCGGTGAGGGTCGGTGTGGTTGGGCGAGCAGGCAGTCTCGTCAGTAGTTGGCCCAACTTCTACTGACTGCTGGCGTTTCCCTGCCTCCGAGACTCCTTCCCCTGCTCTGCTCCTCGACGCCTCAGCTCCTCTGGACATTCGCTCTTGCGATGGCCCGGCCGGTTGCAAGCAAAGCAGCGCCCTCTAAATGGCGTGGCAGCTGCATTCGTTGCGACGGCATGTACAGTGGCGTGCTCGATCGGTCCCCGAGGGCGATGTCCGAAATAGGACCCCGGTCTCGGTCGGCGTAGGATATCGATTTTCTCGGCGAGCGCGAGGATTTCGTTGAAATTCGATAGCCCGCGTAGCATTATCTCGTGCGATATGTCCGGCTTCAGCCCTCCGACGTAACGGTCCACCCGCTCCGCCTCGTGCATGTAGCCGACCTGTTCGCAAAGTGCGAGAAAACCGCTGGTGTAGTCTTGAACCGACCCGAGCTGGCGCCAAGTGCGCAGTTTCTGACGCGCCGAAATCGAAGCCGCGATCGGCTCAAAACGCGCCCGAAGCCCTGCGCACCACGCATCCCACGTGCTGTATTGGGCTGTTTCGCAGAACGAACTCCAAGTGACAGCTGGACCCGAGGGCCCTTCCTCGTGCGACGGTGGCTCGTAGGCGCGTGGCGACGTCACGATGACTCGCCACCAGTCCATGGCGGGGCCCCTGAGTAGTGAAACCGCATACCGAATCTTGGCGGCGTCCGACTCGACGTAGTTGGCGTCGAAAAACACATTCATCGTGAAGACCCACGATTGAACTGTCGGGCCGCCGCGTTGGCTTGGGTCGAAGCAGGGCGGGCGTTGCGGCTTGAGTGGCATTGGGGCCATCATGGCGTTTTCACCACTTGTCGTCGCAAACTCCACGTGCCGACGGGCTTCTCGGGGCTCCCGTGGGCTTAGCGTGCTCCTGTTCCCTCCCATGCCGGGCATCGGTTGGGCTGCGCCGTCACTGGCTGCGCCTGAGCGCTGTCCCGTGCTGTTGTGTTGCGTTGGTGTGCCGGATGAAATGATAATCGGCTCCTCCGAATGTACAGAGACATTGGTTGGTGCGTGGGATGTTGTCGGAGCATTCACCGTTGACTGTTGACGGGCGGAGTCACGTTCCGCCGTGAGCGTCGCGATTTCAAGCGCCGAATCCTCCAATTGTCGCACGAGACGATCGAGTTGCTCCTGCGTCAACGTGGCGAGATTGAGGTCGGCCATGGCGGGGGTATCGGGCAAGCTCAGCGAGAGCCTCGGTCGTGGCCGTGCGTGCTTGCGAGAGAGCACTTCGAGCGGCGGTGCTGTGTCGCTGAGAGACGTCTACCCCCCCCAAAAATTGAGATAGTGGGAAGCGAAGGTGTGGATGCGGTCCGAGATGAGATCGTAGGCTCTGAATACCAAGTGTTACGTGTGCAATTGAGTGAAGGAACGAGAATTGCACTATCGAAGCAAAAGTACAATGAGCGAAGGCATGAGCGAAGGATTATATAGCGAAACAATAGTGGTAACGGTAATGGACTGTGGTTGTCGCGCGTCGAGCCTGGGACTGAGGTTGGGAAAGTGTCGAAGCGTAGGCCCGGAGCGCGGGTTACCAGCCGAGCCGTGAGGTCGGGATGCGATGTGCGAAAAAAGGCGGGATGATGAATGATGCGATGGTCGCGAGTGGTAACGGTGCTGACTGAGGTGCTACAGTGACGTACGCGCTGGGCAGGGACGCGAAGTAAGGAAAAGGGAATTTCCTTACAATTACTAAAACAAATCAGTCACATGGCAATACGGTATTTCACTACGGATGGTTTTGTTTTGTTATTTCCTGTCGAATCACTCTGCGATCCACCAGATGGCGATTTGTTTCTCGGTTTAAGATTACTGCTCAACACATATCAGAAACCACAGCTGGTGATTGTAAACTAAACGCAGTGTACTGCGATAACCTGGTTCGCGCCCACGGGGTCCGTGAAATTTGTGCAAGCGTAATCATGATTACGCACATGTGGGGTTATCGGAACGAAGGTTCCTCGAAGCTTCGTCTCGACAACGTTGCATTCAAGGTCCACAAGACGCATACTCTGTACTGACTGGGTCCATAAGAACACTACTCTGTGAGTGTTTACAAAATTTCAGGGTTCGCTAAAGTACTAATCTGATAGGATCAGTGTTCAGAAGTCATTAAAACTGAAATTGCAAGGACCAGAATGTGAAAAATCTGAAATCATCCTGAAATCAGGGTAATAACCCTGATAAAATCAGCCCTGATTTCAAGTGCTGATTAGGTGCAGAAAAGCATTACAAGCAAATTGTGAATTAAAAAAGAATGAAATATCAAGAAACGCATTACCAATACATTTTGGGAACGCACTCTCTCAAGCTCAGATCCCTCAACTCATAAGGATCTCGGCCGGCCACATATCGACATGCCGTGCTGGTCCCTGCACCACTCTGCACTCCCCCGGCCCACAGCAGCGCAGACCTGACGTGCGCTGCCGCCATCATTTCTGCCAGCATGGTCTGCCCCCTCCCGCATCAATGCTCCGCGGCATCCTGCTGGGCAGCAGGGGAGGCTGAAGACAGTTTCGGGAGGAGGCTGCCTCACAGCTCCGCCAGCAAGCCTCAGGGCAGATCCACTCGAAGATCTGCTGGATGCGGTGCTTCGGTGGCCTGCCACGAGGAAGAGGGGGAGCAGAGGGGGAGGGAGTGGGGAGAGAGTGACGCTCATCACTAGTGCCAGGGGATCCAGTCATCGAAGAACTTCTGCATGCGCGTGCGTGTTGCTATGCACCGTGTAGAGAAGGGAAGGGGATGGGGGGAAGCAGAGAAGGGGATGGGGGGAAGCAGGGAATGGGATGGGGGGAAGCAGGGAGCGGGATGGGGGGAAGCAGGGAGCGGAATGGGGGGAAGCAGGGAGCGGGATGGGGGGAAGCAGGGAGCGGGATGGGGGGAAGCAGGGAGCGGGATGGGGGGAAGCAGGGAAGGGGATGGGGGAAAGCAGGGAAGGGGATGGGGAGAAGCAGGGAAGGGGATGGGGGGAAGCAGGGAAGGGGATGGGGGGAATCAGGGAGCGGGATGGGGGGAAGCAGGGAGCGGGATGGGGGGAAGCAGGGAGCGGGATGGGGGGAAGCAGGGAAGGGGATGGGGGGAAGCAGGGAAGGGGATGGGGAGAAGCAGGGAAGTGGATGGGGGGAAGCAGAGAAGGGGATGGGGAGAAGCAGGGAGCGGGATGGGGGGAAGCAAGGAAGGGGATGGGGAGAAGCCTGGCGGAGGGAGGGGGGAAGCAGGGCGAAGGGAGGGGGGAAGCTTGGCCGAGGGAGGGGGGAAGCAGGGCGAAGGGAGGGGGGAAGCAGGGCAGAGGGAGGGGGGAAGCAGGGCATAGGGAGGGGGGAAGCAGGGCGGTGGGAGGGGGGAAGCAGGGAGGAGGGAGGGGGGAAGCGGGGAGGAAGGAGGGGGGAAGCAGGGAGGTGGGAGGGGAGAAGCAAGGAGGGAGGGGGGAAGCAGGCGGAGGGAGGGGGGAAGCAGGGTGGAGGGAGGGGGGAAGCAGGGTGGAGGGAGGGGGGAAGCAGGGTGGAGGGAGGGGGGAAGCAGGGCGAAGGGAGGGGGGAAGCTTGGCGAAGGGAGGGGGGAAGCTTGGCGGAGGGAGGGGGGAAGCAGGGCAGAGGGAGGGGGGAACCAGGGCGCAGGGAGGGGGGAAGCCTGGCGGAGGGAGGGGGGAAGCAGGGCAGAGGGAGGGGGAAGCAGGGCAGAGGGAGGGGGGAAGCAGGGCAGAGGGAGGGGGGAAGCAGGGCGCAGGGAGGGGGGAAGCCTGGCGGAGGGAGGGGGGAAGCAGGGCAGAGGGAGGGGGGAAGCAGGGCAGAGGGAGGGGGGAAGCAGGGCGAAGGGAGGGGGGAAACAGGGCAGAGGGAGTGGGGAAGCCTGGCGGAGGGAGGGGGGAAGCAGGGCGAAGGGAGGGGGGAAGCTTGGCGGAGGGAGGGGGGAAGCAGGGCATAGGGAGGGGGGAAGCTGGGCAGAGGGAGGGGGGAAGCATGGCATAGGGAGGGGGAAGCAGGGCAGAGGGAGGGGGGAAGCAGGGCATAGGGAGGGGGGAATCAGGGCGCAGGCAAAGGATAAGGGATTACGGGGTAAACAGAGCTAGTGTATGAGAAATGGAGGTCGGTCAAATAAAAAGGGGTGTAAACACTCCGGGAAAATTGAGGTCGATGGGGAGAGGGAGTGAGGGAAGAACCCGCTCTCACCCATCGTCTCCCACTCTCTGCCCTCCCCCCTCTGTTCCTCCCCCTCCATCCTCCACCTTCTATCTTTCCCCCTCGGCCCTTCACGAGGGGAAGCGCGCGAGACCAGGGAGGATAGCGCGTATCGAGGGGAAACGCGCGTGACGAGGGGAGGAGAGCGCGCAACGAGGGGAAGCGCGCGTGACGGGAAGGCGCGGGCGCGAGTGGCGGAAATGTGCGCGACGAAGCGATACGCGCGAGACGAGGGGAAACGCGCGAGACGAGGGGAGGCATTCTATCCCGGCCAGGCGCTAGTGACGAGGGCGGGCGCTAGTGACGAGGAGGAGCGCGACTGGCGAGGGGGAGCGCGGGTGACGACTCGAGCTAGACGTGGGGTAGAATGGTGTCGCACTCGTTTGGCTCATATGTTCCGTGTGAGTGTGGCGACAACGTTTGTAAAAATCTACAGCGTTTCTAGGTTTGTGCTAGCTATTGACGAGACAGAATGAGTGACGAGAGTTGCCGTAAAAATCGCGGTCACGTGGTACTAGCTGATGACGCACTCGCTTTCTACTTACGTGAGAGCCTAGGCCGGTCATGAGTACTACTAGGCGATCAAGATATGTGTGAGCCAAACAGCGGGCCAACCTGACCGACGCTCGGTTCTGTTTTGCGATCGTGGACATCAGCCAATTAGGAGAGAGTGTCGCTAGGCGTTCCCTCGTAAACGCGTACAACCACGACTGCGCCTAGACTAAGTCCAGCCGACGCCCTTCGACATGGACGAGCACGTCAACGTCACAACGCTCACGCAGGAGCGCCTCAACGAAATGCTGCAGCAACTTCGCGAGATCTCTGAAGAAATCGCGGCGCTGAGAGCAGAACGCCAATCGCTACAAAATGACGTCGCACTAGCACAACAAGCACAATCGCAAACACCAAGCATACCGGGACAACCCCCACAACAAGCATCGCAGCACGGAAGTGTGGGGCGACCCGCAAGCGCGGCCAGTGATGGCGTCGTCGGCAACGACAGAGACGACTGTGAAAATGAACGAGAATGAATGTAGTTAGATGCTAGGTTTAACTAGGGCCTAGGCTTAGTAGCCTAGGCCCAAGGAGGATGTCGAGTAGGTTGTGCCAAGGGAAGGTATCGAGAAAGTTGGAAAAGGTGAGTTCACTATAGGTTTGCAAGAACATATAGCATGTGAACAAAGAAGGTGCACCACCTAACAAAGTTTATAATAACTACACTAACTACAGCTACACGCAGTTATATATATAAATTCTGACACTCCCCCATAACTGCCTGCAGCAGGAGTTTGTGCAGAACACAACCTGCAAGGTTACACAAGCAGACTGATAAACAAGCAACAGCAGGTACGGTAAGTGAGCAGGTACAGTAGGTCGACAGCAAGAAATTCCTGCCACCCCCTTACCCTCTCCCCCCCCCAACCACGGGAGGGGAAGGACGAAGAGTGAGGAGGCGGGCTGGCTCTGGCTGGTCACCCACTCCATCTCCTCACCCTCCTCCTTCCCCTCCCCCACACTGCTGCAGGAGCAGCAGAGGGGGGGGGAAGAGAGGAGAGGTGGAGGGACGGCTGCTGGTTGCCTCACACCCGCCACCCCGGTGCCACTCCCCCTGCTCCCCCACACCCTCACACCCTCCCCCCCAACGGCAGCTGCAGCAGTGGGAACGAAAGGAGGAGGAGGGGAAGGGAAGCTCTCTACCCAACACTCCAACACCCGCCACCCCCATACCCTCCCCCCTACGGCTGCAGGGAGACGAAGGAGGACGGGGTGGGCGGGAAGAAAGCCGCAGAGCGGCTAAATAGGGTCGGCGCAGGTAGGTCAGGGGCGGGTGCAGGAAGTGCAGGTGCGGAGAGCACCGTCGCGTGCCACGGGGCGCACGACGGGCAAGTTCAAGTTTAGAGCACCGTTGTGTGCCTCGGGGCGCACGATGAGCAGGGCACCGTCGCGTGCCACGGGGCGCATGACAGGCAAGTTTAGGGCACCGTCGCGTGCCACGGGGCGCGCGACGGGCAGAGAAGGTGTCACTCGCCACCCGGGGGCGGGACAAGACGAAAATCGCCACGCGCCCTAGGCGCGCGACCGGAAAAATAGCAGCGGAATCATAAGGCGGGCCTACAGGCCAGGACGAAACACGCTCTGAATCCATGTGAAAATGAACGAGAATGAATGTAGTTAGATGCTAGGTTTAACTAGGGCCTAGGCTTAGTAGTCTAGGCCCAAGGAGGATGTCGAGTAGGTTGTGCCAAGGGAAGGTATCGAGAAAGTTGGAAAAGGTAAGTTCACTATAGGTTTGCAAGAACATATAGCATGTGAACAAAGAAGGTGCGCCACCTAACAAAGTTTATAATAACTACACTAACTACAGCTACAGGCAGTTATATATATAAATTATGACAACGACGACCACAGCGCGACACACCCCGAAGCAACGAATATGGCCAGAAGCCAACCGCGCGTCACGATTTCGGTGCCGACCGACGAGTCAGACCGACGGTGGAGGGATGACCATACTGCTTTTCCATGAAGGTGCGTCATTGATCACTTGTAACGTGGCGTGGCTGAATGCGCGAGCTGACGCCCATCGATGCGAGCATGCCCGTAACTCTGGCCACGTGGCGGACGGGGACTGGTCGGCATGCCTTGCTTGCGCTCAATAAGCTCCGAATGGTGGCGTGCAGTGAGGCCCGTCGGTCGAGACCGATGGAGAATCGGCAAATGTCCGTGTCCCACTCCTCTGCGCAGAGTCGCGACCAGCTCCCCCGCCGCCCTCGCCGCCTGCGCCGCCTCCGCCACCTCCGCCTCCTCCGCCACCCCCGCCGCCTCCGCTCCCTCCGCCACCACTGCCGCCTCCTCCGCCTCCACTGCTGCCACCGCCGCCGCCACCCCCGGCACCACTCCCACCACCACCCCCACTCCCTCCACTGCCTCCACCACCACCTCCACCGCCCCCGCTAGCCCCTCCCGCTCCCTTGCCCCCCTTGCCCTTGCCGGTGCGGCGTCTCCCGCTAGGGGCAGACGCAGCGCCGACCCCGTAGAAACCAACGAGGTCGGCAGCAGCAGCTCACCAGTACGAGTAAGTAGGGCCGGGGCGTGCCGGTAGGACTGGTAGCAGCACGACGGCAGGGCGGCTCGGCGGCTCAGCTGCTCGGCTGCAGGGCGGCTCGGCTGTCGGGCGGCTCGGCGACTCGGCTGCTGGGCGGCTCGGCGGCTGGGCGGCTCGGCTGTCGGGCGGCTCGACGGCTAGGCGGCTCGGCTGCTGGGCGGCTCGGCGGCTCTGCTGCTAGGCAACTCGGCGGCTCTGCTGCTGGGCGGCTCGGCGGCTCTGCTGCTGGGCTGCTCGGTAGAGGCGGCGTCGGGGCCGCTAGGGGCAGCGACGGGGCTGCTTAGGGAGGGGAGCGGCGACGGGGCCGTGTAGTGGCGGCGATGGGGCCGCGTAGGAGGCGGCGTCGGGGCCGCTTAGGGGCGGCGACGGGGCCGCTTAGGAGCGGTAGCGGGGCCGCTTTGTGAAGAAATGAGGAATGAATGAACTATCAAGCAGGTGGGTACAAGTAGGAAAACCTAGAAATGTTGTACCCCATATAGTCTACCCCACTACAGCCTACACAGACTATAGCATATAAGTTTGACACACCCCCATAGGCAAAGTGGGGGAGAACAAGAGGTCACAAGACCAGTCAAGCAAAGCAAAGCAAGCTCACGGTGGATCACAACGTCACCACACAATCCGAGCACAAGAGCAAGGCCAAAAGGCCAGTTCACATGCAAGATCATATATAAAGGTAAACAAGCAAGTGCACGTATAGAAAGATCACAGTACAAGCAAGGTCAAGAAGTGAGCAAGTGAGGCCAAGTAGGCACAAGACCTAGCATAGTACAGAAGCAGTGATGATCACCAGGCGGAAGTGCCTTGGTAAAGATATCAGCAGTGTTGGCCTCAGAGGCCACGTAAGCAAGGCGCAGCTGACCACGCTGCTGCAGCTCACGAGCAAGGAAGTAGCGAAGAGCAATGTGCTTCGTTTTGTGCTCCAGTATGTGCTCCCGACACAAGGCCAGCATGGCCTTGTTGTCTACGTACAGAACTGGAGGAGAACGAGGCGGCTCTCCGAGGTCAGTCAGCAGGTAGGTGAGCCAACGTAGCTACTGTGCAGCCATGGCCCCCGCGTAGATCTCAGCCTCACAGCTGGAGCTGAGAACAGAAGACGAGTGGGTAGACCGCCACGAAACAGAGGCGGAGCCAAGGCTGAAGGTGTAACCCTGTGACGACTGCTGCGTAGCCTGGTCGTCAGCCCAAGAAGCGTCAGCGTGACCTGTGAGGACCACTAGATGTCGCCCTCCAAGCACTAGCCCCATGCCCGACGTACTGCACAAGTAGCGCAACACCCTCTTCGCTGTAGCCATGTGCTATGGTCGGTGTCTCCCAGGAGCAACATAGCGTGCCAAGATGCTAAGAGGGTATGCAAGGTCAGGTCGAGTGCAGGTCATCAGGTACATGAGGCAGCCAACAAGCTCTGGGTACGGGCCACTCGGCTCTACGGACTCATCCGAAGGAAGAGCTAAGAGCAAGTGGCGAGTAGACAGAGGAGTGGCCTGAGGCGAGGAGTACGTGAAGTCGAAGCGCTGAAGGACCTGCTGCACCATGTGTGACTGAGTCAGGGTAATGGTGCGCTGTGCTTTGTCCTGGGTGATCTGCAAGCCAAGGTAGCTGCGCAGTTCACCCAGGTCTGTGCACGTGTGTCTCTTCTGCAGCTCGGACTTCACGTGGGCGAGAGACTCAGTGTCAGCAGTGGCAA